TTCCAACATTTATTTACATTCATACTTATATATATATAGATACATAACAATAATTAATAATACAAAATTTAGAGCATTACAAAAACTATCATGAACCATTGTAAATTATCTTGCTTCACAGCAGTATGTCCACCTAAATCTCCACCTTTGAAAATCTTTTTGATCTGTGGGTATCTTGGATCAACTCCTCTAAATCCTTCCAAATTTTTACTTTCAAAAGAGTTGTTTAACCAACTCGTAGAGCATAAACATTGATGATATTAATAGCATCTTATACAATACAATGACATAGAGCCCCACTAAGCAAATTAATAGTTATCAAGTATCGATTAATGACATATTAAATAAAAGCATGTAATTATATTAATATATGGGCATTACAATGCATAGCACAATACAAATAAATTAGCATATGCAACATTAAACTATCATCAAACCAAGTATAAATTGTTTTTCTAAGGCTACTCCTAGTGCGCCATATTGGAAATAATATAGAGTATATATATATATATATATATATATATATATATATATATATATATATAATAGTCTCCTTAATACATTAATTAAAGATTAAAAGATATATAAAAATTAAAAGTGAATTTTGGTAATTTTCTAAGGATTCATTTAATCCAAATATTATAAATAAATTGTTTTAGTCCCACCCATTAATTTTTGTCAAATTTGTGAAATGGTATATTTAATGTAGCTAGTGTCAACATGATTAGAGCTGTTAAAATGGGTTAAAACCTTGAGCCCTACTCTATTGGCCCCTTATATAGCCCTGTTTTTTTTTTTAAAGCCCTATAACTAGAGTCAGGGTTAGGAGAGAGCTACATTGACCCTAAGCCCCAAAATAAAAAAAATAGTAGGCTAGAGTCAGGGTTAAGAGAAGGCTAGCCCGCTTATTTTACAAAATAAGTAATAACTATTATATTATTTTTTATAATATTTATTAAATTATTTTATTTAAATAAATTAAAAATTATATTTAAAATATAAAAATAAATTGTTCCTTTTAAATAACTGAACGTGCATGTTGGTCCACTTCAAGCCAACTAAATATTAAACTGGTTTGTGTTAGGTCAAAATTCAATTAGACTAAAAATTGGTAAACTCGACAACGTATATATTTTAGCAGGATAACCTTTGAACTTAAGTGCACGTGAATATTTTTTTTTTTACATAACAAAATACATAAATTAATTGAATGTTTATTTAATATTTTTTAAAAATCATAATTTATGTTAAATTATAAATTTATTAACATCTATTTACTGATCAATTTAAATTTTAACAAAAAATTAATTTTAGGAAATAAATTGAGATTCATTAACGCATAGATACTTATGTTTTTAATAATTTTTTATAAAATACAAGATTGACTAAATTAACTGTCGACTTATTTATAATAATTTCATGACTTATATATATATATATATATATTATATTTCATATAATTTAAACATTTTTGAGTTTATTATTTTGATATTTATTTATATTTAAAAAATACAATATCTGTTAAAAATATGAAAGTAAAAAAAAAAAGACTTCTAAGGTATAGAAAACAAAAACCATATGCTCACAGAAAGGAAAAAAATAAAATTTTAACGCACAATCTATTTAATATTTATCAGTATATAAATATAATTAAAAATTATATTTCTAATGTATGTATGTGCATGTATATATATGTGTATATGAGAATATTACTCAATAATGTATATAATTAAGATTGAGACATAATTAGGAACATAACTCTTTACATATTAAGATGAAAAAGACAATCATGAGATATTATTTTTAATTAAATTAAATTGTTAAAATTATATAATAATCATTATTTTTATTAATTTTATTTAATAACAATAATCATTATAAATATTTATTATTATATAATTTTTTTATTTTTTAAAATAATTTTATTAGACTATAAGTTTATAATAAAAAATTATATGAAATAAATATTTTTATTAAATATTTTAATAATTATCATAATTTATATCAAATTTTCTCAAATCTAATTTTTTAAGAACATATAATTTTTTTTTCCCATAAAACCCTAACTTTAACCCTGGCCCTGTGAGCTTTTAGCCCTATAAACTTATGAATTGGTGAGTTTTTTGGCCTGTAGATCTTTTTTACCCTAACCCACATGGACTAGAGTTAGGGTTAAGATTAGCACTGGGCTAAATTTTTGATAGCTCTAAACATAATGCATAAAATAAAACTCAACAATGAGTAAACCTAACATTTTAGCATAAAATTAACTTATAAAGAAATTACAAGTAGAAAAAACATAATAGTCTTGAGTGCAAAATAATATTTGGAATGAAGCTCAAGTGAAAGGATGCCAGCAATCCATCCTTCCAATTTTTGTAAAAACATTTTGTCTTAAAATAAAATTACATAATTTAATAACATGGATGGTTGTGTAATCACCATGTTGACACCTTACCTTTGCACGTCTAAAAATCGATAGACAAATTTGATAAATATTAACAAAAATGACTAAAATTTTTTATCTATATAATTTTAAGAAATAAAAAGAAAAAATTCACGTGCTTTCCTGTATTTTTAGTTATGTCAAGTTGAACACCATGGGATCATTGCCCAATGCCAGCACGAGTGGCAGCACCACCATCACCATTGTCACACAGTGTCAGTATATCAGCTCCAACAACGCACCAATCTCCAACTTATGCATCAGCAAAACCGCGCTCTCCGCTCAGAGCGTGAACAACAAAATGTTGTTGAGAGAGAACATGTGAAACAAGGAAAGCATGCAGTGTGTTTCCTTTCAATCTTGTGAATCTTTACCATAGAATATTAGAGAGTGGGGAATGTCTCGATCATTGCTAGGTCCAGACCTCTCGTCACCACCAGCCGGGAACGTACTGTGATGCTAGTGAGGTTGCGGATGCTGATGGAGGAAGAATCGGCGCAGTGATGAAGATGACGATTATGATGACAATGGAAGGGCTAAATCGGTTGTCATAAGAATCATTTTGATCATTGTTTCTGGGTTGTGCTCCAACTAAGGGAGGATGAAGATAAGGAAGAGATCAAGAATGGAAAGTAATTGTATCTTGATAAGTACAAGGGGCGCTACACACTAGATTGCACATGATAAAAAATTACGGAGGGAGTAATAAGCTTTTCTAGAAATAAAAATAATTTATCATGATTTTAAGGACTAAATCAACGTGCATCTATCATTTTGAGTTAAAAAAAGAGAGAGGGGCATGTTTCCTGAGTCGAAAAGGGAGGGGGGTAATTACCCCTTTCAATCTTTCCTTATGTCCCGCATTGCACCCCGCCCCTGGTACTCTCCTTCAAATTATTTTCTTTCTTTTCGTTTCATGTCGTGCTTTGTCAATTCCTCACAGTACTCAATTTCGTTTTCTCTTATTCTTTCATATAACTTTAACTCATCCTTTTAGGAATCTAAAAATCTTTCCATAGATAATTTAGGTGAAATTTTGGAGTTAGAAATAGTGTCTATTACAAAGAAAATTTCTATTTGAATTTCTAAGATATATTCATAACTCAAATATATAAGGGTGTTAGATTTTGACAAATTCTCATTCTTAGAAAATATGTATTTTAAAACTTTAAGTATAGATCTAAGAATTTTATTATTAAAATTAATTTTTAATCCCTTTTAAATATTATTAGTATGAAAATTGTAAGCTTGCATTTTTCTCACAGTTTTGGAGTAGTCTTGTGAAACGAGTTAATTAATATTCATTGTTTGTAAATGAATAATGATTATAGTGACTTATTTTAATTAATTCTAATTATTCAATATGTTATTATTGCCATAAAATTATTTGTTTAAAGAAATAAGTTTTAAAATTATTTTTATCATATAAAAGTTTAGTGCAATATGTATTTTGTTAGATAATGAGTTTATTTATAAAATGTGAATTGAGTAATTATTTTAATGTATTTAGTTACGAGACATGCATTGGGACTTTTGGTATTGAAAACAAATTTGATTTGTGTACAAGAATGACTTTTTATTGTATAAATATTTTGAAAATAAGTTATTTTAGAACTCCTTAATTATTTAAGTACATCTAATTATACTTTACGACGAAAAAGCTACTCATTAGATGAAGTTGTTAATGTACGAAGAGAGCTACCCGTGAGATGGAGTTACCCCTAAAGAGGACTGCCTTTGGAAGGAGAGGACTATCGATACAGTGGAACTATCTTTAACTATATTTCTCTCATAAGTGACTCTTATAATATTATATTAACAACTACTTTGATAATGTTTTAAAAAACTAAGATTATTTAATTATGGTATATGTATATCTTATTATAGTACTCTTTATTGAAATAGTATGTTCTTATTGGTATAAACTTATAAACTTCAAAGTATGGTCATATTCTTAATCTTAATAGAATAAGAAGAATGAATTTCTTTTAAAAATAATATTTTTACATAAGTTTTGTGAATATAAACTACTTGCACGTGATTTATTTCCCTTTTTTATTTATTATAGTTATTTTCTCATCATTAATATATCTGACTCACCTCCTCCTATTTAGACTTCAATTGTTTCGGTGGCCTTAACACTTTTCTTTTTGTTATGTTTTTGATATTTTGTCACTGTTTAGTTAACTTTTTATTTATTAAATATTTTTGTTTTGATATTATAATTATGTTTGAATTTAATTAATTTTAGTTGTTATAAATCAATCTAGACATATTATTATATTTTAAGATAATAAAAATACAAATTTTTGACAAATTTGTTATATTTTTTTTATTGAAAAAGTTTAATATCTCATGTGTTAGTTTTTAAATAAGTTTGTCAAGTTAAGTAATATTTCTAAGTAATTTAACTTGTGCAACAGTCACAAGTCCTTTTTTGGGTTGTGACAGTGTATAATCTTAAAGATTAATACAATCAATTCCTGATATTTCTGTAGGCATTTTTATTTTCATAATTTCAGTTTAGAAGCTAAAATGACATGCTAAAAACAAGAGATAAGCCATAAACTATATTAATAAAAATGGTAAGAAAAATGCTACCTTCTAGTAAAACCTCCTTTTAGATCAAACTCATCATATAGTTAGTACAGACCTATGCTCGAAATAAAGAAGGATTTTGCTGCAGTGTTGGAGATTTGATCATGCCGATAAATTAAGGAATGCAAATAGGCATAAGATATAAAAAGAGTGGAGAGAATGATCTAGAGAGGACACAGAAGCGTGGTGTCTTCTTTCATTCACAACGGAAGTACTTATACAAGTCAATGGAAGATAATGAGAGAAAGTGAGAACCAATAGGGATCTTGAACATGCCTCTAAAATCCTTAGAAACCAAAAGGACATTATAAAATCTAAAATGTGGTCTCACTATTTTGAAGATTATATAAAGGCTGAAGCTAATGCAGGGGTTAACCTTTAGTCAAGTTGTGTTCGCTAATATCATCACTTTCCACTGCAAAAGATAGACACATTTTCAGTTGGTAGCAGTAGCATACCGAGAATGGTGTTTAACAAAACATTTGCATCCATTAACCTTTTACTATGTTCAAAATGACTCATACTATTGACATAAAATAAACTCCTTTACTATGTTTTCAAAGCAGAAAAAATCACATAATGTGCTCCACCTAGAATTCAGTGCTAACACTTAAGTTCTCCAGCTGAATTGGTGATTCAAACTGAACTCCAGAAACTTCTGGAGAAGAGCTTTCAGGTTGAACACGTGATGATAGTTCTGCCTCACTAGGAGCAGATGCTTGAGTAATTTCGGGTGGCTTGAACTTGTTGATGTAGTAACTAAGTGATGGTCCAGAGTAATCGGCCGTCTGGATCCGAGGAGGAGCATTCTTACCAACTAGTAGCAGTATTGATGATGCTGCAGCAACTGAGACCAGGGCAATGCCTGCAACAATTGCCACTGTGGTCTGAGCACCATCAGAAGAAGAGCCAGCACTTCCTGAACTTATTGCACTTTCGGCCACATAAACTGCTGGCTGGAAAGGTCATAAGATGTTAGACAGATTGGACCTGAATTCTCATTATCTTATGCTCAAGACAAGGTTATGCTATTCTTCTATCCAAGACATGCTTCCGATCCTAGCAAGCAACCTTAAAATTGATGTCTATGTACTAACAAGACATATAAATATGGCTACCTAAATAGTAATCTCTCAACCGACTATCATTTTTTTTTCTCATTTCCCAGACTATCCTCCAACCTGGTGAGAGACTGATAATAATAATTTCCATACACATAAATCTCAACATCTAACTTAAGATCACATGCTTAAGGGACCTGAGCTCCTTCCGCTCAGACCGTGTTGGTCAAACTACCAGTGTTTGCTACATGTTTACATGCTCTCCAAACATTAAAATTTAACAAATGAAAAGATCAAAAGAACAACATAATAAAATGTTGCAAGCCTTTAACAAGTTAAAATATAAAAAAATTAAAAAAAAAACACTAACCTCAACCGAGTATATGTTTGTCTGCCCAGCAGTGTCCTTCTCAACATACCCTGTCCAACCCCGCTTACGACCAGGTGGAAATGTACCTACTACTTTAGTCTTCTCCCCAGTTAACCATTCCACACTGACCTTCCCAACCTAATTCATCATCGACAGAGGATCAGTTACCTTTGTCTGTGAATAAATGCTTAAACTACGCACATGGTCAATTCAGCTTTCACCTTTTGTTTATGCATGAATTTATAGAGGCCATCTTGATTAGAAAGTCAAGATGAAGGTAAAATGCTACAATAATTGGAAACACATTGAAATAATAACAATATTGAAATGAAGCAAATGTCATTTACATACAAATGTGCTTCACAAAGAAAGGGGGAATGATATAAAGTTAAGTTTCTATATTTTTCCTTAACATCATTGCATACATCTCTAAACCTACATAATTTCCTCAATTTCTACTGATTCCCCATGAAATTTCTGAGACATACACACTCATCATTTTTCAGAATTATAATTGAGCTAATTCAAAGAATTAGCTGAGAACAAAAAACAAAAATCCTCTAATTTAAGTACAAGTGTTAGTTTGTGTCTATAGTAACATACAAAAAGGAAAAAGAACACAAAAATATTCATGCAGTAGTATAGGAAATATTAATTACAAATTACAGATGTCAGCAAATCCGGTATATTCATATCATAAAATTTAATTAAAGCAAACATGACTCACTGTGCAATGTGATTCAGTGTGCCCCGTATAGATCCAATTACAGTGATTATTTTTAGACTAAATTATTCCAGTGTTGACGATAAATTAAGTTAACATTCGTTCACACTTAACAAATACGACTATTCCAGTCTATAAAACCCCCAAAAGCAAAAGAACCAAAACCAACTTGAGTAATTCAAAAACCTATCTGACTAAAAATATTATTCTGACCCTAACCAAGAGCCCAAAACTGATATAAGCACTAGCCATACTCTTCCTACCAACTTCTCCCCTTGGGTTTATATGCATAATAGCAATGTAATTAGACGAAACTATGTAATGCAATACTCAAAGGTAACTTACTTTTCATAATGATATTCCCTTGGTCCACTTTTTCATTCATCATATTTTTCCTCATTTTCTCAGACCAAACAAGAATAACAAAAAATAGAACAAAGCACCCCACAAACTCCAAAATGGTTAAGAAACTAATGCACTCACTTCCTTATCCGGAGCACACTCTTCCTCATTGCAGTCAGAGTCATCAGGAGAAGCTCTGACAGTGAACAAGCAAGATCTTCCCTTATTGGTCATGTGGTGCTTCAAGGAGAATCTCCTTGCAGAAAAGCCATAGGTGTTGGCTGCTAAGGTTGCTTGCAATGCACAAGCCATTATATTGGTGATGAATGAGTGAGAGGAAGTGTGTTAATACAAAATTCAAGTTTGAAGCAAAATGATCTCAAAAGGAAAGCACATCAAAAGGGTTGCAACAAAGTTAGGATTTTGATGGTGTTTTGAAGGAGAACTTGGGGGTTATGGCTCGGTGGATGAAAGTGAACACGTGTGTGTGTTAAGGGATTGGTGTTTCGTGGTGGAGCTTAAAGGGACTAGTTGAGTGGGATGTGTCATGTGTGGACACTTGGATTGGAAAGGTGCAGAATATCTGGAGATCGTAGCTCCATGTAGCTCAAAAATAATATCTAGGGTGGGACCACCCTTCTTAGGCCACAAAACTATAGTGAAGCGATTTATGTATTGGCTACAAAATTTCTTCGACAATTATCATTAATAATCTATTTATTTTGGGTTTTACATATTTGCATGCTGAGCTAGTGTGATTATGTAAAGTGTGTGCAACTCTCTCTCTCTCTCTCTCTCTCTCTCTATATATATATATATATATATATATTACTAATTTTTATTTTAAAATGTTATATGAAAATTTTTATTATATATATTTTTTATTTTTACTAATATCTTTTGGTTTATTTCTTTATTTATTTTTATTAGTTCTTGAATTTACTTTATTTTTATATTTCTTAACCTTTTGTATTCTTGATTTTAATTTTTTTCTTTTATTATAGACATTTTATATTTTTTAATAATTAAATTGATATAAGTGAATTTTAAAATATTAAATAAATAACTATCTATATAATGATGACGTTAAAATATATTATATTTAAAAGATATTTTTAGTTTAATATAATATGTCAAGATTTAAAATTTCAAATTAAATTTAAATAATAGTATTAGAGAATAATAAAAATAAAATAATAAATGTCAAAAAGAACATGTAACTTTTAAAAAAATCTCTCAAAATACTTTCGTTCATAACTAAATCATCGTTTAGAAAAGTATTTTAACCCTATCCCTCCAAATTAATTAACTTTCAAACAAAAATTAAATTTCACTAAGCCTTTCCTTCTCCTCCTCTCCTAAGTATAACTTCCAAACAAAGCCTAAAGGGTGTTCATGCCAATTCTTCTATTCCATATGATAAGAGATGTCAACGAGGTACAATTTTCATCAGAGCAAAAATATGGATTTATTCAAACAACAAAGCTATGACGTTCAATACCAATCTTAATGAGTGTAGCTTAACCAATATTCCTTCATCAAGATGTGTATTCACTTGGCATAAGAATCATAACAGTCGACACATTCTTCTGAAGAAATTAGACAGAATTATGGCAAATCTACCTTGGTTAAGAAGTGTTTTAGAAGCATTTATGATAACACTTGCTTTTCTATACTTTGATCTTATTCTCCTCTTGTTAAGGTTTAGGGGCCTTCCATAAGTCCACGAATCTCGACCTTTTCACTTTTAAGCAGCATCGATAGTTCACAAAGACTATAATTCAATTGTTTCTAAGGCCTAGGAGGAAGGTAGGGAAATTTCCTCTTATCTATTCAAAAAGTTAAAGAGAATTCTATCATTTTCAATAATCTCAGAATAAGAGAAATAATGAAGTTAGAATTAAGGAAATTCAAAGGCAATTAGAGAGAATTGACTCAACTTATCTCACTCATCTCAAAAGACAACTATAATATAAGTACAACAAAGCTTTATTTCAGTAGAAACTTCTACATTACCAAAAATTTAGAGAAAATTAGATTAAGCTTAGAAATTATAACATCTCATTTTTTTTATGCCCAAACTATGATTGAAAGGAGAAAGAGTAAGATTCATAGGGTATGTTTAGGAGAGGGTTTTTGGAGGGAAAGGGAGGGGAAGGCTTATTTTTATATTTTAAATAAATATATTTAAAATTAATAATTTTTAAAAATAAAAGATATAAATTAATATAATAACAAAAACTTAATGTATTAATAATATATTTGTTATCCTAAATAATATATAATTCTTTTAATATAAAATTAAAAAATAAGCCCTCCCCTCCAAAAACCCTCTCCCAAACATACCCATAGTTACACTCTTTCTAATGACATATGATATTTTGATAATTTTGTTTTATCAAAAGAAGCTTACACGTTCTTTGTAAATCTTTTTTACAGTTAGTGTCATGTTACATATGCATAGTTCTATCTAAATAATATTCTAACAATCACACTGAAGGGTGCTTTCAATTTGGAGTAGCCTATAACAAAAGAATAGGTATCCCTAGCTTTCCATGCTATGCACCCCTATATTTTTATCTCTTCTTTTTCTCTATGCAGTCGTCATCCCATCATGACCCTAGTTGCAACACCTCTTATGTTTATTAAATCAGAGTGGTTTAATCTTTCTAGACCAGAGATTGCAAAAAGAGTATTTCCTAAAGAATTTCATTTTGTACCAAATTCTATCACTAAGAACATGCAATTTTATGAGTTAATTCTAATAGATACATAATCTATAGAGTTAATCCTTCAAAAAGATCCTAGGACAGGAAATATAATTTTTTTAAAAATATAAATATTAAATATTTTGACAATATAGGATTGGAAGAAACTGCTATATTAATAAAAAAAATTACAATACAATTATTTTAACTACATAGATGCATGGAACAATGTACTATTCATGGTGTCATCTACGCCTTCTTGATTTATATGGTTCAATAAGGGAATCTCCTTATCTTTCCACAAGAAGTTTTAAATACTTTTCAATACTTCATTACCAAAACCAACTTTCAAGAAGATTAATGATATCCAATCTAGCTAGTCAAGGTATAACTTGGATTACTATGTGGGAATACACTTTAGCAAAAATGACAGAAAATTCTATTCTATAATATTTGGTAAGAGTTATTAAGATTAAATGGTGAAAAAAGTTTAATTTAACCTTAATATCAAATAATTAAATTGATCAATGGATACAACATTCCACTAAAGTAAGACAATTCTCTAGACCATATTCATCAACATCATCAAGTGTCATCTTATTAAATCAACAAGCAATGTTTCTAAAAATAAATATAAAAATTATGATTATTTTAGCAACAGTAGGATCTAAAATAGAGTTCAACAAGATTATACAAGAGCTAACTTTAAACTCTTCACAAGTTGATAAAGAAGTACAAAGTAGTCATGTACCCTTATGATTATTTCCATAATAGAGATGATTAAAGTAGTCTTAACTCTTAAGATTATTTTCCTAATAGAGATGATTGTTATGAAATATTCCCTTGTTTGTAGTAGAGAAGATCACAAAGTGCAATAGCATCTGACAAAGAAAAAAGAATGACAAGATTTAAACGAGAAAAAGAATTTACAAACAATAAAAAGAGACCATGTAGGAAAAAAGAAAATGATAGGCAACACTAAAATTAGGGAATCTCACAGTAGGAAGACAACTCAAAAAGCATCTTACAACATTATTTGTAAATATTATAATTATTTTTCTAATTTATAAATAGAGAGACAATATTATGGAAAAAGCATTCAAAATTTGTCCCTTTAAAAATAAGTTCTCTAGTGTAATAAACCTTCCTCAACTAAGAAAGAATTTTCTTTATGAAACCACGTCCTTGTATCATTTCATCAAAGTTTAATAAGAATTCTACAACATTTTGTAAGAATTTTGTGTTTCTATGTTTGTTTATAATTTTTATTAATTATTTTCTTATTTAAATATTTTTGTTAGTTTTTTTCAACATTTCTGTTTAGAATATTTTTGTCTTCAATATTTCCTATCTTCTTCCCCCGTATTTATATCATGTTTGTGTTTTTTTGTATATCAATCTATGTCTCTAGTATTAGAGCCTAAGTTGCGATAGAGCTTTAGGTTCTAAGTTATGAGTTAGCACCAAGTTGTAGTATTGAAAGTTGTGTATAAGTTTATCAATCTAGATAGTAGTTTCAATAATAAGGCCTGTGGTATCACAATAAGTCTGTTAGTCAAGTAAGATAATTACATAACATGAAGTGTTAGTAGAAAGCAAGTCCAAAATGTCATTCATATCCAAAGTTGAAGTATTAAGAGTGTTTTAAGTAAGAATAGTAATAAACAATAGATAGAAATAAGAACCCGTGAAAGGGAAGAAGTGGGAGGCACACATACAGGGATGTATGTGTACATACAACAATAACTAAGTCTTATCTTACTAACAAACTTAAACACTTACACTACTTAATAACTTTTTATGCAATACAAGACACACACACACATGTATGTATGTATACATGCAACAACAACTAAGTCTTATCTCATCAACAAACTTAAATACTTACACTACTAATAACTTTTTATATAATACAAAATTAATCACTCTAACCGTTGAATTATCTTTGTGATAGTATATATCAAATTTCATATAACTTGGACATTTGTACGTACATTATTAAAAATTTGATATTAACTCATAATGTAATAACATATTATCTATTAAAATAAAGTAATGCAATAAAATATCTATTAATTTTATTTTTGTATAAAATTTTATTACTTGTCTGAATGTACAAGGCTCTCAAGAACTAGCAAGCTCCATCAACTCATAACTCAGAGAAATAAATATAATAAAAGTTTGTGCATCTTCCGTGCTGTTTCGTACAGTTTTCTCAAAAGATTAAAATACTTTAATCACTATAATTCCTCAAGTAAACGTTACATATAACTGAAGATATGATCAATAATAATTATTAAATTAGAGTAATCAAATAAAATTAATAATTAATAAATTCTTTTAAAATATAATTATATTATTTCTAACAATCTCTCGCTTATTTTAAAAGAATATAATGTAATAAAATAAATTATTTTAAACTGAGTTATACCATGAATGTAAATGCTTCGAGTCTGGTGTCTTCTGGACTATGAACCAGACCTAGATAAATAGGACCTTAATTAACAATGTAATCAGTGAAGTAAAACTTCTATGAACCAATACATTTTTTTATATAAATTAGAGTCTCATTTGATCACATTTACACCATACATTTCTCTTGTTGTTAACGTTGTGTTATGCTTTTTGGCCGTGCACGTGCCTGGATGTTCATGAGTGCTCTAGAGACTAAGCTATCATCTCATAGGAACGACCCCACTCCACACTCATATAGGTGATTCTATCACGTGTATACTGCACTTTATACACAACCCATAAGGGATATAGAATTCATTAAAAGCTTCTGTTTATCCTCACATTAATGTAATCTAGTACTTCTCATATTTCTCACACCATAGGAAAGGAT